CAATGTCATGAGACAAAGTGTATGTGAACTGCTGTATGGAAACTGAATTTGCTCTGTAAATATTCACCCAAATCAATCTCTCTCTCTCTCTCTCTCTCTCTCTCTCACACACACACACACACACACAGAATAATGTATAATCTGCAAAACACCACAGAATATGGATGAACTTGGAGGACATTATGCTGAGTGAAATAAGTCAATCACAGAAGGACAAATATTGTATTAGTCTGTTATTGTAAAAAGTCAAGGAAAGGAAACTTTCTTTTTTGGTTACCGGGAGGGGAGGAAACGCTCCAAAATATTTAAAAAAAAAACCAGGTTTGAGCAGCCATCTAAGATGATCTAAGATGCAACTATTGGTCTTCTCTCATTTGAATGAAAGAGTGAAGAAAATTAAAGGCATCTGGAAACAATTATTAGTCCAAGGATAAGATGGACCATGAGGACCTTAGCCTTCATGACCCCAAGAGCAGAAGAATTAGATGGCACCTAGCTACCAATGCCAGCCACTTAGAAATGGATCAAAACTGAAGATCCTGGATAGAGTAGGAGTAAAAATGTGGAACAAAACACAAGAATGACCAGAATTACTAGTTGGATAGAGTCTGGTGGAATCTCCAAAATTTTAGTTCAAGGTTAGCCTTTGGGCCTAGAACTGGACTGACTCTCATGGACTGGCTCTCAGCCCAACAGTAGAAAGACCTACATGCAGAACACCTACCCCAGGGTGATGCACTCACCTACTCTAGGGAGATAAACCCCTTAGAGCAATCAGCCATGAGGCACCACAGGGGCAGCATTCACGTAGAGGGAAAGCAGGACAGACAAGAATGCATAGTAAGAAGGGCACGGGAGGGAGTAGTCACAGGGACAAGAGGGGAGGAGAGTTTGTTAAGGTCGCGGATGGTAAGCAGGGCGTGAAATCAAATGTACCTGAACTGTTGAATGTAGAACAAATTTGCTCTATAAATTTTCACCCAAAGCACAATAAAAATTAAAAAAAAAAAAGAATAGATTCTATGTACTGAACAATGATGGCCTATGATGAGACAAGTTGTGAGATAATATCAAGAACATCATACATGAAAAAAGCAAAAGGTCATTAAAAAGACAGAAAGGGGGGGGGGGAAAGGAGGCCAAAATGGATGTCACAAGAGACTCTGAAACTTACTCTTGAACATAGTGTAGCTAAAGCAAAAGGAAGAAATGATGAAGTAAAAGACTGAACAGAAGATTTCAAAGGGTAGCTTGAGAAGAAAGTAAAATATTATTGTGATATGTGCAAAGAAATGGCGCTAATAAACCAAAAAAGAACATTCTTGGCCTTTCTCAAGCTGAAAGAACTGAATAAAAAAATCCAAGCCTGAAGTTGGAGTATTTAAAGAAAGAGTCTATGGGCAAAATATTAAATGACACAGGAAGTATCAAAAGAAAATGGAAAGAATACACAGTCATTGTAACAGACAGAACTGGTTAACATTCCACCATTTCAGGAGACAGCATATGATCAAGACCCAATGACACTCAAGGAAGAAGTCTAAGCTGCACTAAAGTCACTGGTGAAAAACAAGGCTCCAGGAAATAATGAAATACCATTTGAGATGTGTCAACATATAGATACAATGCTGGAAGTGTTCACTGTCTATGCCAAAAATGTTGGATGGTTACCAGACCAACTGACTGGAAGAGATACATATTTGTGCCCATTCCCAGGAAAAGTGATCCAACAAAATAGAAAAGTTATCAAACAGTACCATTAATATCATATTCAAGTAAAACTGTGCTGAAGATAACTCAAAAAACGGTTGTAGCAATACATACATAGAGAACTGCCAATAATTCAAGTCAGATTTTAAGAAGAGGAAGTAGAACGAAAGATAGCATTGCTGATGTCAGATGGAAAATAGAGAATACCAGAAAGATGCTTACCTATGTTTTATTGACTATGCAAAGTCATTAGACTACATGGATCATAACAAATTATGGATGATTTTGTCAAGAATAGGAATTACAGAACACTGAATTGTGCCCATGTGGAACCTGCACGTAGACCAACAAGCAACTGTTCAAACGGAACAAAGGGATGCTGTGTGGTTTAAAATCAGGAAAGGTGTGTGTCAGGGTTTTATTCTTTTATCATACTTAATCCAACTATGCTAAGCAAGTAACTCAAGAAGCTTGACTATATGGAGAACACGGCATCAGGAAAGGAGAGGAGTCATTAACATCATCTGTGACATGCAGATGGCACAACCTTGCTTGCTGAAAGTGAAGAAGACTTCAAGCACTTCCTGATGAAGATCAAGACTACAGCTTTCAGTATGGATTACACCTCAGAATAAAGAAAACAAAAATCCTCACAACTGGATCAATAAATAACATCACAATAAACTCAGAAAAAACTGACATTTTCAAGGATTTCATTTTACTTGAATTCACAATCAACAGCCACCAGCAGCAGCAGTCAAGAAATCAAATGATGTGTTCCACTGGGCAAATCTACTACAAAAGCCTTGGTAAAAGTGTTAAAACGCAAAGATGTCACACCTTGAGTAGTAAAGTGCACCTGACTGAAGCCATGGTTTTTTAAGCGCCTCCTCTGCACGCAAAATCTGGACAATGAATAAGGAAGACAGAACTAATGTCTTTGAATTGTGGTGTTGGCAAAGAATACTGAGTATACCATGGACTGCCAAATGAACAAACAAATATGTCTTGGAAGAAGTATAAATAGAACCCTCCTTAGAAATGAGAATGGTCAGATACCATCTCTCGCACTTTGGAGAAGTACCTGGAGAAGGACATCATGCCAGGTAGAGAGTCAGCAAAAACGGAGACGACCCTCAATGAGATGGACTGACAAAGTGGCTGCAACAATGGACTCAAACAGCAACAATTGTGAGGATGGCACAGGACTGGGTAGTGTGTTGTTCTGCTATACAGAGAGTTTCCAAGAGTAAAAACTGACTTGACAGCAGCTAACAACAATAGACCAATGATTGCTATGTTATTTTCCATTTCCCCTCTTCCAAATGGGAATGACCATGTTCATACTATACCACTGTATTCTGAACATATGAAGGGAGGACAGATAACAAGGTGGTAGAGATAATTTGTATCTTAGGTCACTGTCCCATGAAAAGTCACATGCATATCTAATGGAGAGGAATGTACATCACCCAGTGATCTTGGACTTTCAGTTAAATATATCAACTGGATCAGATTTGGGCTGTATTCCTTGGGGAAGGCAGTGTGGGAAAAGCAGCGTTTTGAACCAGTTTGGACTGGTTCAGTAATGGATGATGAAGCACATCAGAGGAGATCTAAATTTTAAAATTTGGGTGAACAGGAACAATAACTGGAATGAAAAAAATTACAAGCTGAAGCCCTAGAATGGGAGACTCAGAAGAGGAGTAGCAAGTCCTTTCAGGAGCCTGGTGAGATAGACAGGATTATTGGTAAAAACCATAGAGAGTGATACACACTCAAAATGATGTAGCCAGCTGTCATCCTGAGCCAGGGTACTGCTATTTCCCACTCTGTGGGCAAGGTGTTTGGTTGCTATGCACTCAAGTTCTAAAAATTCAGATCTGTTCCCCTGACTCTTCCTCAACCATGACTGACCTAGGCAGAATGAGTTCAAAGCCCCAAGGAAAAGGATATGAAAGGATACTAGGTAACCAGAGAACAGACTATGGTACAGATGCTAATTGCCCTCTGGTAACTTCTTTCTACTTTATCCTTTTTTGTACTAGAAACTACTGAATTTTAGCTGAGCACATGGCCACCCAGCTAGTGACTATAAATCCTAACATACCTTGCAGCTATGTGTGATTTTGTAACTAAATTGTGTCCAGTGGTATGTGAGTAGAAGTGGTATGTGATTCCTAGATCATGTTTTTATATGCTTGCCCTCTATGTCCCCTTTTTGGTCCTTTCCATAGGCTACAATGTGAACATAATCTTGTGAGCTAGCTTTAATCAAGAAGATGATGACACCAGCCCAGAGCAACGGCTGACAAACTTTTTCTGTGAAGAATAAAACAGTAATTATTTTCAGCTTTACAGAAAAGTCTGATACAACTATGCAATATTGCCATTATAGTGATAAAGTAGCCACAGACAATATATAAATGAATGAGCATTCCTGTGTTCCAATAAAACTTTATTTACAAAAACAAGTCAGATTTGGGCTGAGTTGTAGTCTGCTGACTCTGTACTAGGAGATGGCAGAGTGGGTCTCTTATATGGAGCACTGCCATAGTACCAGCCCTGTACAGCTTATCTCTGAACTATTAAGAGAGAAAGAAATAGAAACTTGTTCAAGCCACTATATTTTAGAAGTCTCTTTATTGCCAGCAATTTAATGCTGCATTCTAATACACATGTGTGCATGTGGCTCACGGGAGTAGGAATTAAACTTGCAATAAAGATTACCATATATTTAGCTCACAGAATTCAGAAGAAAGAAGAAGTGGAAAACACATTTCTAATAAGATAAAGATTGAATCATAATTCCAGGGAAGACCATGTTTAGACCCCTAAATTAGAACTGCTTCCAAGATATCCTACAGTATCTCTGAGAGATTATAGTCTACAGAAAACCACAGATTACATCAATTTTAAAAATACTTAGCGAATAAGATATAATGTATTTGAATAAATTCATCTGAAAACTCAATGATAACCAACCTAGAAAACAGAACTACTTATTATTAGAAACTTGTTAGCAAGTCAAAATATGAGTAAAAATTCCAAAACATTTATCTTTTGCCCTACTCAAAACAGTATACTTATCTTTTTAAAAAAGAGTTAGCTATTTTTATCAGTGACTCTTCTAGAGAAAGAATAACAGATTTTTTTTCCTCCAGGGTGGAAAATCCTATCAATTATCCAGAATCTCTGCTTGAAATTCTGCTATTCTCAGACTGGTACATGAACTAATCTATAGCAGCTCAGTATGATAAAACAGAAATTTGAGCATCTCAGATGCACACCTGTTCCATATGTTCAAATACTGCTGGAGTAGCAATAGCAGCTGGTGCCTCTTCAATAATCTTCTGATGCCTGCGCTGTACAGAGCAATCACGACCGAACAAGGAGATAGCATTGCCATACTGATCTGCTAGGATCTGCACCTCCAGATGACGAGACTGTTTGGCTAGTCTCATTACAAATATAGGTGATCCAGGAACTTCAGCTTGCACCTATGTTAAAAAAAAAATAAAACAAATTCTTCAATGGTAACCCTTTTTGCTATTCTGGTAAGTTACTTCAAAATTTCAACAAGCAAATATCTAGAAGTGTCAGGAACCATGTTAATCAGCAAAAATAAATAAATGAACAAAATATAATCCATGCACTTTTATATTTCAGATACTGCATTCTTCATTATATAATAAATACACCTACTCCTCACTTATTGACAATCTTGTTATCCAACATTGCACATTACGACAATAGTGAAAAATCTACCATCTGACTATTCTGCACATTAATGAGACAGCAGCATGGCGGCAACAGTTGCAGAGCGTCCTTCCCTAGAGGAGGGTCTCCAGGCAGCCTCTGGGAAGCTGAGCTGCACTGCCTCACATACTCTATTACCTCCTGTTGTTGGGGGTGCTGCATTCAACTGCCACATGGGCCAGTCTTGTCTGTGGCCATAGCCTCTGGGTGGACACACAGGCAGCACTGAGCCTGTGGGCTCCTGTTCTGGTTCCCAGCTCCTATGTATCCTGAGGCCCCTCAGCTCAAAATTGATGTAGAAAGAACGAGGGATCAGAGAGGATGTCTAAAAGAAACGTGCAAGTTTCACGACATCTCAAAATGAGACAAATTGGACCTAAAGCCTCTGCCTTGGTGGGGCTGAGTGCACAGCTAGGCTCCTAGCACTCTTGCAGGAAGCCACGAGCCTTGGTGAATTGCCAGGCTCGGAGGGCAGAGCAGGCTCTGAGATCGTGAATGGAGAGCTTGCAGAGGGGTACAGTGCAGCCTTGGAGGCAGCTCCACAAGGGCGGGTCTAACCCAGTACAGGAGGAAGGTAAAGTGATTAAGCCACGGGCCCTCCAGTCACGTAAGGCAGCTTCTCTGCAGAGAAATAATCCATAACTAGACTTGTTATAGTGATGAGCACATCAGTAAATCTTATCTGTTATTATTTCTATGATATTTTCTAAATAAAAAAAAATTGGACAAATGGTCTGAAAACAGGGAAAAAAAATCCTCCATTCTCACATACTGCCAATTTTCACACAATGACCTGGTCTTTAGAACCTAACCATGTGATACATGAGGAGTGGGTGTATTAATTAAGGACTATGAAGAAGTATGAACACCCAATATGTGACAAGGGCAAACCACAAAATATTTAAAAATATACACACATACACACACAAACCCCACAATGGCAAATTCAGCCACTGACTTAGTACAGACAAATGTCCAGCTCTGAACAGACTAGATGCTTTTCCTGTTTTACATTACATCATACAATGGATTGTAGTTCTTCATACTTTTCAAAAGATTTTCATCTTTAGTTTTGAAGAATATTGTCACTGGATGCAGAATTCTGCAATACTATTTTCTTTTAGTTTTTGAAAGATATCTCAATCTCTTCTGGCTTCCACTGTTTCTACTGAGATGTCAGCTGTCAGTCTTATTGTTACTCTTTGGAAAGTAGTCTTTTTTCTCCAGCTGTATTTAAGATTTTCTCCCCCACCCCCCCCTTTTTGGAGGGGTATGGAGGAAAGGAGTAGTTTTACTTTGATAAACTTAGGTGTGCTTCTCTTGTATTTTTCCTGCTTGGGGTTCACAGTGCTTTTTGAATCTGTGTTTGGTACCTTTTGCCAGTTCAGGAAAATTTATTATAGTCATTATCTCTTCAAATACTGTTTCTGGTCCATTATTTCTTCACATACTACTTCTCCATTCTTCTCTTCTGAGCCTCCAAGTACATAATTTAGATCATTTCATTGTATCACATATATCTTTTATGTTCTGTATCTTTTATGCCGTTTTGCTGTATAACAAGTTACCTCAAAACTCAGTGGCTAAGGACATCAAGCATTTTATTTGCTCATGATGTTGTATGCATCTGGATAGCTCTCTGGTGTTGTCTGGGGTCACTTACATGTATACAATCACCCGGTGGCTTGACTGAGGATGAATGCCCTAAGATGGACTCACTCACATGTGTGGTGATTTGTGGTGTTGGCTGGTGAGTCTAGGAAGCTTCAAACTGTCACAGCTTATCTCTGTTGCACGTGGTTGCTCATCTTCCAGTAGGCTAGACTAGATTTCTTCAGTTGTTTTCCAAGAGGGTGAGGGCAGAAGCTGCAAAGCCTCTTGAGCTCTATGCTTTGTAACTTACATAATGTCACCTTGGCCACAGTCTAATGGTCTAAGCAAGTCACAAGGCCAGGTAATATTTCAAGAAGTGAGGAAGAGACTCCATCTCTTCATGGGAGGAACAGCAAAGTGCTGTCACAACGTGTAAAGAAGTGTATATACAGGGATGGAGGAGTTATTGTGGCCATCTGTAAAACAATCTACTATGCTCCACCCACTGGCCACAATTCACATACCTCCCACATGCAAAATAGACTCACCCCCTCCCAAGACCCCCAAAGTCTTATCCAAGCATGGCATCAGGCTTGACGTCCATTTTCTCATGAGTCATGTCCAGAAGCAAATCAGCTCCTTGGTTGCAGCTCCACAGATGAAGGTTTTTCTTGGTCCAAAGACCTGGGAACTAAAAAGACAAGTTATCTGCCCCCAACACTCCCAATATATAGTGGTAAGATGGGGAGAGGATAACTGCAATATATAGTCCTGTTCAAAGAGGAGAGGAATGGGAGGTACACTGAAGTCACTGGCCCATAGCAAATCTGAAATCCAGATAGTGCATGTTTTCATGGGCAGTGAATTTTTTTTTTTTTTTTTTTTTTTTTAAATTAGGGTCTGATTCTGCTCCCTGGGTGTGGCACCCCAATCCACAGCTCCCCACTACTCTGAGCTCTGTCTTGTGGGTTTCTGGCTCCATTCTCTAAGAAATCTTTTATTATTATTATTTTCATTATTATTAGAAATGACCATGTTTTTGGCAGAGCAGCTTTCTCAGCCTTCTTCTTCCCCATAGAAAGCTGAAGATCAAGAGAGTGCCTTCATTTTGACAACTGTCATTGTCTAAATCTCTTTTAATCCAAGCCTGACATGCATCCATCAATACATGTTTCTTAAAAACTGTGGGTTTCCTATGAATTGTATTGGGGTTCACTCCATGCCCCAAAAACCACATCTATAGTTCTTTTCCAGACCTCTCTATACTTTGGGCCTATCAGTCTGCTGTGAGACAACACCTTTAAGATTACTAGAAGTCCTCTGTCTAGCTGAGAGGGTGTAACAGTTATTGCCATCAATACTTCTGAGGTCTTCAAGGACCTTAAAAGTATACTCTTGATTAGGCATTTACTCTGAGATCATTTCTTACTTTGAGAATCTTTTGCTAGCTGGAGAGATTGAAAATAAAAGTAACTGTATTTTCAAAGACAGCAAGTTCTGGGTCCTTCATACTTCCTCTAAATTCTTCTTGCCAATTAAACATTTCCTTCTTTAGCTCATCTCATTTTTATGGTTCCTTAGGTTATCCAGCTAAGAGCACTCAACAGATACTTGCAACATATTGTGTAAAGATGTCCTTTATCAGAGCCACATGTTTCTTCAATACAATGTTCAATCTTCCAAGTTGCCTCAGGAAATATTTTTTTCCCATTGTTCCATCATTACAAAATATGGGTAGCTTTTTCTTCCAGACTCCAATAACAATTTCCTCACTCCCTTTCCAGCCTCCACTAATAAACAGTTCACCATTCATCAAGGCTCCATTAACATTTTTTCCAGCATCCATCTATCAGCTAGTCTCAAAACCAATGCCATATATTTGCTTTTATGTTATGGCAGGATCCTACTTCTAGATAGCAATTTCTGTGACAGTTAATTGATGTCTAACAGATCACCAAAGCTTTAGTGGCTTAAGACAGCAATCATTTTATGTGCTCATAATTCTGTAAATTAGCAAACTGGACTGAGGTGGGCAGTTCTTCTGTTGGTCTTGCCTGGAGTCATTCATGCAGTTACAACCATATGGCATTTTCACTGGAGTTGGATGACGTAGTATGTATGGCCTCACATTTCTCATAAATAAAAACATTTCTCATAACTGATGCTGGCTATCATCCAACAGGTCTAAGAGGCCTCAGCTGTGACAATCATCTGTTTCATGTGGCCTTTTTCTCTCCAACAGGTTAGACTGGGCTCTTCACATAGTAGTCATAGGGCTCATTCCAAAAAGTCCAAGAGCAGAAGCTATAAGACCAGTTGAGGTCTAGGCTTCAGAACTTTTACACCATTTCTGCCATATTTTATTGTAAGAATAAGTCCCAAGGTCAGCTGCAATTCAAGGAATGAGAAAAGAGACTTCATCTCTTCATGGGAGGAGCAGCAAAGTCATATTGTATAGGGTGTGCATATACAGATGGGAGCAGTTATTATGGTCATCTTTATAAATAATCTGCTACATGTTTTGCTCTTTGTCATCTTTTTGTCTCTTCATGCTTCAATCTGGATTTTCATCTGGCCTATCTTCCAATCACTAATTCTCTCTTCAAATGTGTCTAACATGCTATTAAAAACCTCTCTGTTGACTTAGGTATAGTTATTCTATTTTTTTCAGTGCTAGAATTTTCATTTGATTCTTGATTATGGTTTCTAGTTCTCTGCTAAAAATTGTGTCTTTTATTTCTGTGTTAGATTGGGTTCTCTAGAGAAACACAAAAACCAGCAAAGCGTATATATATATTTAGAGAGAGAGAGAGAAATTTATCTTAGGAAAATGGCTCACAAATGTATAGAAGCTGGCAAGTCCAAAGTCCCTGGAGGAAACTTCGGGCTGTCGGCAGCCTTAGCTTCTGCAAGTGCAGGGGGGCGAGCAATTCAAGGCTGGCAGGCAGTACACTGGTTGTTGACTCCAACAAAAGACAAATACAAGATCTCCAGGCCGAGCAGTGGGCTGCTCCCTCACAGAAGTTTGTAGTCCAAACACCAGGATTCCAATCCCTCAAAGAATGTCTCTCTTCCCAGGATGTCCCTGGGTATCTTGGAAGCAGGCCACACCCCTAGGGAAACTCCCCTTGGGCAGACTGGTCACTTAGAACACAGTCATCTGATCCCATCATGGGAACAACCACACAGAACTGGGGTCCAGCCAAGATGACACACAGCTCCAACTATCACAGTTTCCTTAAAATATATTAAGCCTAAAACCAAAAAAACCAAACCCACTGCCATCAAGTTGATTCCAATTCTTAGCAACCCTCCTTGGGTTTCCGAGGCTGTAAATCTGTATGGAAGAAGACTGTCTCATCTTCTTCATGCAGAGCAGCTGGTGAGTTTGAACCACTGACCTTCTGGTTAGCAGCCAGATGCCTTACCCACTATGCCACCAGAGCTCCTTATCTTAAGCACAGTGTCTTTTAGAAATACTTTGAAGTTCTGGATGCTATCTTTCGTTGGAGATGATAGTCATTTGATTCCTGCAGACAGCTAATCTAGGAGCACTAGAACATCTTGAATATTTTGAAGCTGAACTTTAGTTTCTGTGAGGGCACGCCTATTTCCAATTCATCTTGATGTACTGTCCTTCAGGATCCTAACCTAAGGTGGGGTTGGCTTCCCAGGGTTTCCTGTCTTTAGCAAGTACTGAAATCTAATTTTTGTTCCTCAGTCTAGTGAGTCTGTTGAAAGCTCTGATAAGCTTTTCAGTTGCCTGACACTAAATCTGGCCCAGTTTTTCTAGTAGTTCTCAGTGGGAAGACTGGTTTCAGTTACCTAGTAGACTATCACTGGAACTTTAAGGACTTTCACATAAAATGTCCTCTTACTCTTCTAGATTTTTCAACTATTTGATTCCACAGTAATAAGTAATTTTCAAACGTCTAAAGCATTTCATAAAAGAGGGAAAAAATATAGCATGCTTTTCTTTTGCTTCTAAGAGCAGAAGACCTTTATCTAGACCACTTGAGACATCAATCTACCTCATATGAAACTAGGATTATTAGAGATAAATGTAAAGACAAGACTGAGGTAATATTCAGCTTCTGTCCTTCAAAACAGAATATAGCAAGACAATACTTTTATCACTTTTTTCTTTTTTAATCTAATATATCATGGAAGACCCAGTTCATACAGTTTTCCCTTTAGCCCATGACAATGAAGCAAGAGTTTGCTTTTGAATGTTAAAAAATAAATAAAAGGAAAATAAAATTAAAAAGTAAAAGATGATAACAAATAAGAAAAAGGATGAAGATAAGAGAGTGAAAAAGCGTAACTGAAAAAAACTTTAAAAAACTTTAAACTTTTGAGAAAGATAGTGAGAAAGACTTCATTAATTACATGCAAAATAAAAAATCATATATTCTCTGAACAAATTATTGTGAGTTGAGCCATACATTTCTGATATATGTGTTAATTCAAATGAACAAAACTTGTATCCTACCTGTCTGAAGAGGTTAGGGAAGTCATCTGCATTGTTGACTTTTCTGATTCCCTTCCCCCCTCCTCCTTCTGAGGCCTTGATCATTACCGGATATCCTACTTCTTCTGCTGCCTTCAAGAAGAAAAATAGAAACGAAATAAAGTATAGTATTAGAAGCTAAGGAGAAAACTAGCACTTTCTCCTTTTAAGAATGCAGTCATTTAATAAGTCTATATATAGTAAAATAGAAAGATCTTCAAGACATAGAATTAACTGAAAAAAAGAGAACAGTTAATTATAGTATTAGGTTGAACCAAAAGAAACTGCCTTTTTTTTTTTTTTTTTTTAGGAAAAAATGGTTGAATATTAGCAATTTCATATGGCTTAATCTAACATAATCCCAGAAAACAAAATATTTACATATGACTATGTACACATTCGTACACTCACACATGTAAGTGCAAAGAGTAAAAAAGGCTAGAAGAATATATACCAGAAGGTATCCATAAAAGGAAGACTGTAGATGGAAACTCAATTTTTTCAGTATACAGTTCTGTATTGTTGGAATGTTTTTCCAATAGTATGCAAGTATTCACATATTACTCATATTTTCTATTAAAACAACAACAACAAAAAAGACATAAGGAGTTCATTTAAGATAAGCTGGTGGTCTCAGTATAGTTTTCCTACTACATGTAAGACTCGAAAAATCAGAATTCTCAAGTATCTAGAAATCTTCCACTTTTTAACTGGAGAGAAAAATGACAAGCTATCAAAATAGTAGTAAAGCCAGTTAGAAAACTAATTTTCAGTACATGCTTCATCATGCCTTTTCACATTTACATTACTATATAACGATCAAGTGATGACACTAAAAGTTACTAAAAAATTAATTATATATCCATCAAGAAGGAAGCTGTTCAAACCAAGACAGACCCATATAATATGCAACTATTAAAAAGAATGAACTAGCTTTCATAGATAATGGTATGGAAGATGTTCAAATTATTAAAGTGAAAAGTGAGCTGGGGAAAAGTTAACTAAAAATTTTAAACAACCAAGTCATTCCTTTATCAAAATATCTCATCTTTGTCTTTTAAAGTTTTGCTACACTACAGCAATATCTATAATATCTATCACTAGAAAAGATATTTCAAATTTTCATTTGTCTCACTAGATTAGAGACTAACACTTTTCACTCATAGTCCTCTCTTCTAAACTCCCCTTAACTGTATTTTTTCTAAGCTTATATAAATAGAGTAAGCAGGATGAATTCAATCACTGGGTGACAAGAGATCAAGGAAACAAAGAGCCACAAATAAGGAAAAGTCTAAAGTAATAGCTCACAGGCAGTCAGTAAGACGGTCAAGCCTTTTAAAAATATATTAACACTCCAGGTGGCTCCTGTAAGATGGCAGAATAGGCAGAAAAACTACACAGAACCTCTTCAACAAAGAAAAAAGAAACCAACTGACACAGATATAGAAGACAGTCCTGAGTGCTGAGCTTTGAAAGGAAGCATACAAAAGTGGACTAAACCCCAACTAGTAGAAGAACTTGAAGGAAAATACTGAATAATAAGGAGACAAATGGAGCTGTGGACTGTCAGCAATCTTAACGGCACAGACAGTTTGGATATTTCCAAGTGGTATTAGGACCTAAGAATTAACCTAAAAATTGACCCTACTCGCCAAGGGCTGCAAGAAGAACTACACTGATGGCTGATGACTAAAAAGGGAAACAGAAAGGAGATAAACAGTTGTGGAGTGTTGGTTGTGCTGAGGGCACAGCTATTTTGATTGTTTACAAGCTGTTACACCATTTTTGATACCGAAAGCAACAGCATTCTCTCAGGTTCCAGGGACCTAAGAATAGGCTCCACTTGTGGAGTAGAGCACAGACATACAGGCAGAGGACAGGAAAGGTTCTAGTTTCTGGCTTTTTCTCTCTTTCCGTTTCCAGGTTCCCAATTTTTTCCTTTTTGTGGTTCTGTCCATCCCTTGTTTTTCATTTTCAATTCTTCCTTCACTAATCTCTTACTCTACCTCTTTTCTCTTATTCCCCTCCCCCCAGATATTTTTTTCTTTAAAAAGAAAAAATAGGAAAAGTATTTCTTTAAATATTTTGCCTCATGTTTGCCATTCCTTTTCTTTCCCCTATCACTTTTTGAGGATTGTTCCTGAGTGTTTATGCAGTGTGTTTCTGTTCTCTTGCTTTTACCTTTTTGGTGTTTTTTCTATTATTGTTTTTGTCTAACTGAGTGAGAGACAGCAACCGTGCCCATATGCCCCAACCATACCCACACCTCCTGCAGAGGCACCTTCTGAGTGAGGGCCAACACTTGCTTCTGCATCAACTGGCCAACAATACACAACAGCCAACACGAGCCTGACTCACCCTTAAGTGCTCTTCATAAACAGTTAACAGAGATCTGTGCAGTCACTCTCATACTCACTCTCATATGGTGAATGCATAAGTGCTGCAAACTAGCACATAGAGGAGCACAGTGCTCTGCTTACTCAGATACATCCAAACAAAACAAAGATAATGAAAATCTTGAGGGAATCACTCCTACAATCACCAATTAAATATAAATACAACAACGTCACAATGTCTTGGAGACAAGAGACCATCATGGTCCACACAAAGAAGCAAGAAAAGGAATAGAAACAAGGGACCAGGATACAGACCCACAAAACATCCCTGAGGAAGCAGCAGCATTGGAACTCCCTAATAAGGAATTCAAAATTATTATATTTAGGTACCTTCAACAGATTGAGAGACAGATCAAGGAAAACACTGACAAAATTAAGAAAAACAAAGACAAAACCCTCAATTTTGGAAGACAATACAAGAACAAAATGACAAAATAAATGAAAAATTAGAAATGATACAAATCTACAGATAGAAATCCAGAAGATCAACACTAAATTTTCAGAAATACATAACACACACTGAAAGGGCAAAGGAGCAGAACTGAACCAAAATGAAAGACAGAATTAGTGAGATTGAAGATAAATCCCTCAATACTTCTTTGGAAAGGGATCAATCAGAAAAGATATCTAAATAAAATGAAGAAAGTCTAAAATTCATCTGGGATACCATCAAAAGGAATAACCTAAGTGTAATCAGAATTCCAGAATAGGAAGAAACAAAACCACAGAGAAAACAGTGGAAGATTTGCTGGAAGAGAATTTCCCTGATATGATGAAAGATGAGAACATATACATTTAAGAAGTCCAATGAACCTGAAACAGGACAGACTCCGAAAGAAAATCACAAGACACATCATAATCAACCTCATGAAAACCAAACACAAAGAATGAACCCTGAAAGCAGCATGGGAACTATGAAAAGTTACCTACAAAGGGCAACCAATAAGACTAAGCTCTGATTTCTCAGCAGAAACCATGCAGGTGAGAAGGCAATGGGATGGTATATATAAAACCCTGAAACAGAAAAATTCCCAATCAAGAATTATATACCCAGCAAAACTGTCCCTCAAATATGATGGTGAAATTAGGAGATTTCCAGATAAGCAGAATTAAGTGAATTTGTTAAAACCGGACGAACCTTACAAGACATGCTAAAGGGAGTCCTTTGGACAAACAACCAACAGCAGCAAACAACAGACCATTAACACACATCATGACATAACCCAGAAGCCAACCCAGTTATAGAAGTATCCAAAGTAAAATAAGCTTACAAGATTGTAAACAGGGAACAAGAGACATCAATTGGCAAATAAGGACAACTACAAAACAAGAGGGAGAAAACAGTGTACTTACAGAACTTCTAAATGGTGAAGAAGTAAAGAGAACTGCAAGGTAAAACAGCCTGTTCCAAATGTGGGGAAAAAAACTATAAACCACAGGATAACCTCAAAGAAAAATGATAAGCCTTTCCATCACAATAAAAAAGAGGACAAGCACAAATATTCAGCTTTTACTAAAACAACAGCAACAAAGGAAGTGATAACACAATTCACAAACAAAATGAGCTCCACACAGAAAATGATATGGAAGAAATCAGCAACACCACAAAAAAACATAACCCATCAATACACTGTCTGTAAGAGATACACCTTAGAGACAAAGACAAAAGCAGACTAAAAATCAAAGGCTGGAAAAAAGATATAGCAAGCAAATGGCAATTAAAAAAGAGTTGTTGTTGTTGTTGTTGTTATGTGCTGTCGAGTCAGACCTGACTCATAACGACCCCTCCTTGGGTTTCCGAGGCAGTATCATTACGGAAATAGATTGCCCCATCTTCCTTCCGAGGAGTGGCTGGTGGGTTTGAACTACCAGCCTTCTGGTTAGCAGTCAAGGGCCTTAGCCACTATGCTACCAAAGCTCCCTAAAAAATAAAAATAAAAATAATAATAATAATATTGCTGCTCCTCCTTTTTTTTTTTTTTAAAGAGTAGGAGCAGCAATATTAATTTCTGATAAACTTGACTTTAAGACCACCATAAAAGACAAGAAAGGACAATATGTAATGATTAAAGGATCCATTGAACGAGAGGACATAACCATAATAAATATCTATGCACCCAACAAAAGAGCCCTAAAATACATAAATCAGACTGTAAAAGAGTTGAAAACAAACAGATGACTCCACAGTTATAGTAGGAGGCTTTTTAATGCACCACTTTCAATCAAAGATTCAACAAATGGAAAGAAACTCAACAAAGATGCAGAAGAACTAAACAATACAACCCACCAACTTGACCTTACAGACATCTACACAGCAACTTCAGCCAACAATAGCACATTATACATTCTTTTCCAGTGCACATGGAACATTCTCCAGGATAGACCATATTACGCCATAAAGCAAGCCTTAATAAATTTAAAAACACTGAAATACTGCAAAGCATCTTCTCAGATCACAAGGTGATAAAAACTAGACATCAACAATTAGAAGATCAACAGAAAAAGAGCAAACACATGGAAACTGAATAACACACTCCTTAAAAACGACGGGGTAATACAAGAAATAAAAAATAAACTTAAAAAATTCCTTAATCAAGTAAGAATGAAAACACAACATACCAAAATCTCTGGGACACAGCAAAAGCAGTGATTGGAGGCCAATTTATAGAAATAAATGCACACATCAGAAAAGAAGAA